AGAAAAACAATGGATCGAACACGACTGATACCATATTAGACTGGAAATTGAACAATACACTGAATGATTTTCATTAAACAAGATGAACGATTGTACAATGAACAGAGGGAGAGTTTTGGCTGCGAGAGAAGAACCGAAAAATGAAAAGGAAAAGTGAAGTACAATATGTGGTGACCCCTTATTTATATCTAGGGTTTCCACAATGGCAAAATAGTAAAAATACAAATGCCTATAGTTGCTATTTATAAAACAGCAACTTTAACACAAAGTCTATTATTACAAATGCCTATAGTTGTTGTTTTAGAGAACAACAACTTTAACACAAGTTCTAATAACAATTATATGCATAATGTTAATATTAATATACATTTTAATTATATAGTATTACCCTAATTAAATAGACAGAAAATGGTACATGTGCAAATACTTTTACACGATTGTATATGTGCAATTATTTATCATTAGTTTCGGCAGGTATCTAAATTCTCCAAAAATGAATCATGCTATCATACTTATTTAATAAATATGTATATATTCAAATTGTATTCAATAAATATGTATAGGAATATCAGAATTTGAAATATATAAATAGAAGTATGATAATTTAAAATACAAATAAAGTGCATGTGCGATGTACGAGTGTGTTTGCCAACTAATTTCAGTAAAATAAATTAATTAACTTATTAAACACATTATTGTAGTAATGAAATAAATGTAGAGCAAATGAGCTCTTAATGTTTTTTTTTTTTTTTTTGTTTAGCTGGGCTTGGTTATAAATTAATAATTGTATAAAATAATAATTAAGTTTGGATTGCATTAAATTTTCATATTATTCACATTAAATCCATAATTGATCTTTTTCTTCTTTTCTTGTGCAACTAGTTGTTGATCCTGTTCACATGCCCACATATAAATTACAAAATACTATAAGTTATGTGTATATATACATTAAAATTATATAATAGATATGTATATATATATATATATCCTATTTTATAAGTTTGATTATTAGCAAATGAGCAATATAAATACAAATTAAGTAACTATACATGAACCTCTATATCGATTGCATGAAAAGTAGTGCTTAACATATTTTTTGTTACTTTGAGGCATAGTTTTTAAACCCGGCCCGGTGATGGACCCGGGAAGGTCTCCGGGTCACCGGGTCACCGGTTCAACCGCCGGGTCACCGGG